TTATTATTTTGATGAAGTACTAATGTATTTCCGACCAATATCTGTCTAAACTGTCAATGTGGACATGAATGTTCCTTTGAATATTCTGATCTTGAATTATGCGTATTCAAGTGAAACGTAAGCCGACACGTCAATTAAATCGTTGACTTGAAAAGATTAAAACTAAAATAAATAGACATAATACATCTAAATTATTTAACCAAACCTGCTTGAATGAAAAGATGTTGCCTAAACACACACACACACGCGCACACACACGCGCACACACACAAACACACATATATATATGACATGAAAAATAACTCACCCACCTCCAACCTCTGAGCTTACTTTTCTATTTAGCGTGGATCTGACATTTAATTGGTTAATCAAGACACACCCACAAGGTAACACTTTGTTTTCAAACTTCCTTAAAAATCATTTAATCACCAGTTACTTACCATTACCTGAAGAAGTACAATCAAAATATTGAAAGATGAAAGCTTTTGTGTAGCGATTTCAATGCTTTTATTATAATCTTTTATAATAAAATTATATATATATATATATTTATATATATATATATATATATATATATATATATATATATATATATACATACAAATGAGAGAAAAAGACGGATTAAAATCCACTTTTGTTGCATTTACATTTAAAAAAAGTGCTCTTATAAGAGATTAGAAGACATGTTGAAATTATTACTCACCATCGCCTGAAGAAGTACAATCAAAGTATTGAAACATGAAAGCTTTTGTGCAGCGATTTCAACTTGTTTTTATTATAATCTTTTATAATAAAAGTAATATTATATTGCTGTACTTTGTATTGAGCACTTTTGTAAAAGTAAATGCTACGAACAGTGGTATTTTACTCCATCTGTTCTTTCTCTAATTTGGATCTATCTATCTATCTATCTATCTATCTATCTATCTATATATATATATATGCATTTATGTATAAGTATATGTACTAATAGATTCTACTCCCACGCATTTATCTACTCGAACAATAGTCAAAAGTGAATTTGTGAATGTCTACCATTTTGTTTTACTTTTTATTTCTTCTATCCCATCACTCCAGGTTCATTGAAATCGTTAATGGTGATCACAACCCTGTGAACGCCGGAATATTGAAAACAAAAAGGATGAAAATAAACTACAACGATTGGACTGCATGTGAATCTGATTCCTCCATTTGATCCGTGATTCGCTAATCAAGCATCTTCGCTGATTTGTGATTGGTTGATCAAGGGAGGTAACTTGCTCTTTGATTAAAGTGAGCCAAGCGTCCCATTTGCAGTCAAAACTTGGCTAACGGAATTATATGTTCGGTGTTTTCTTTTTTTTTTTTTTCTCCGAGGAATGAGAGTGATTGAATTGGATCAGTTGCGATCTTGAGACGAGAGTTCTAAAAACAAAACAACAAAATGAGAAAAGCAGAAGAAAAATCATTTTTACCTAACAGAATTATTAAAGGAAACGATGGTCGAAATTAGCCTTTCGTGGTCTTTCTCTTACTCATTACTAACTTTTCATTGGAGAAAAGAAAATAATGACTTAGCTAGCAATTCTGATTCGTCTCTTTTGGTTTTTCTTTCAAATTTGGGCTGATTTACATTAATACCAATACTGTGGCTGACCATTGCATTTTTTTATTGTCTTACACTTTGTTTTACTCGTTCCAATGTTTTTTGCATTTTCGAAAATTCTTCCTTTTCTTTTCTCATGGTTTTCCTACATTTCATCTATTGTATTTTTGCCACCAGTTTTTAATTCTCTTCTTTTTCATCTCGTCTGTCTTTTTCACTTCTCCCTTCTCTCCAGTCTTTCATTTTTATTCTCTTCTTTTGAGTAGCCTCGTATTTTTAAAAAAAATTCTTTTGTCTCTTTTTCTCTAAATATGACTTCTTTTTACTTTTCCATCCACTTCGATTGCGTCTTTCCTTCTGTTTACACACTTTCCCGCCTTTTATTTATCTCTTCTTCATCCTAATTTTCTTTTTATATTAGATTTTCATTCTTTTTCTTTTCACTTGACCAATCAGCATCAACATTAAACACTTTATCAATGTGTTCGGCTAAATTTACATAATGAAAACGTGTGAAGCAGGCGATAATGAAATCACGCTAATGTGAAGTCATGTTCGATTCGAATTTATATCATGACTCTTTGTTTCTTTTTTCTTTCCTTCTTTCTTTCATTCTTTCTTATGCCTAATTTATTTGGGTTCTCAGATGTTCTTTCTTTCTTGCTCCTAATTTATTTAGTAACATGTAAACACATACCTTTACCTTCTTTCTTTCCTAATTTATTTAAAAAAATCTTACATGTTCTTTCTTTTTTTCTTTTTTTCTTTCTAATTATTTGGGATATCATGTTCTTCCTTTCTTTCTTTTTCTTTCCTTTCTTTTCCCTAATTTATTTCGTAAGTCGTATTCACTTCCTTTCTTCCTCCTTTCTCTCTTTCTTTATTTATGATCACACATTTTATTTCTTTCCCTAATTCATTTCATAACTTCTATGCACTTCTTTCTTTCTTTCTTTCTTTCTTTTATCACCGTTTTCTTCTTTTTTGAATTCTTTTTCTTCATTCCGTAACATTTTCTGACATCTTTTCCCATTCTCTATTTCTTTCATCCATTCGCTCATTTCAGCAACATAATAGTTTGGTAATTCTTTTCTCGCTCTACTTAATTCCTTTCTTCAATTGATCTTTTGTTTTTGGCCACCCAATGAAATCCTAGAGAGTCGATTCAATCAAGTACCATGGGAAATTCAGAGTTAAATTGCAAACTCTTGTAATTAATAGACCGATACCCCTGTGTTAAACTACGTGCAGTGTTCACGCCTTTTCTCGTAATGTCTCGTTTTCTCCGTGGTTTTAAGAATCAGCACACGTGCTAAATCGCTTAAAAGAAAATGAGAGAAGAACTATCTCAGTGAATCTTTCGTCGTTTTTTCTTTTTCTTCATCTAGAGGTGGGCGATCATTGCTCTCCACAATTTCCTGTCCTTTGTAGCTCTTAGTAAGTTTTCTTTCTAACTCTTCTCATCGCTGTTATGCCGACCATTTACACAAATTCGTCAGGTAGATTATGGCATCCTTTCCTCTGTCCATGCCTTCAATATGTCCTGTGAGTGTCGAATTTCCCAAGCACTCTGTCCTCATTATGTGCCTTAGAAATTTAAACTTTCTTTCTGATTCTGTCAAATGTTAAGCTTTATTTTTTATCATGGCTGTCCACAAATTCCGGTCTTTTGTCGCTCCATTATTATCCCTCTATATTTTTCAGGACGTGGGTGATCTCAGCTCTCCACAACATGCTATCTATCCTATCTTTGTCTGCTCTAAGCAACGTTGCATCTTTTACCATGCCCCATTGTGTAATTTATTTGGGATAACATTCTTTCTTTCTTTCTTTCTTTCTTTCTTTCTTTCTTTCTCCTAATTTATTTTATAACTTCTTTCTTTCTTTCTTTCTTTCTTTCTTTTCAGTCAGTATTCTTCTGCCTATCTTCATCCCGACTTTCTTTGATCCTTCTTATCATTTAGTTTCTTCTGTCTCTCTCTCTTTCTTTCTTTCAAATTATTTTTTAAGTCGTATGCACATTCTTTCTTTTTTTCTTTCTTTCTTTCTTTCTTTCTTTCTTTCTTTCTTTCTTTCTTTCTTTCTTTCTTTCTCCTAATTTATTTTATAACTTCTTTCTTTCTTTCTTTCTTTCTTTCTTCTAATTTATTTTATAACTGCTTTCTTTCTTTCTTTCTTTCTTTCTTTCTTTCTTTCTTTTAATTTATTTCATAACTTCCATGCACTTTCTTTCTTTTACCATGTCCTACTGTACCATTCCTTTAGACATTAATTCAGATAAACTCATTAAATAGGACATACGGGATTTCCACTGTTTCTCTTGTCTTGACTATGTCTTGTGCGTATTAAACTCTCTAAGCCCTCTTTCCTAAATATTTGACTACAATCAAATGACGCTAATAACAATGGTTCACGTTCGATCGCTGTAGTTAAGGGGCTTTGAGCCTGGGAAATATTTAAATGCGGGGGCGTTTGGGAGCACAGAATCCTGTCAGTAACCTCGTTACAATCTGAAATACGTTTCGGTTTTAAATAACCCATAAAGTATTGATTAACCATAAAACATCCTCAAATCAATTAATCAATCTATCAATGAAGCCTAAATATGTATCCCAGTGGTTTTAAGTTTGCCTCAGAATTATAAAATTCTTTGTAGTTCCTATTTTCCCCTCAAAAAATATATATTAATATAGATTTAATGGATCAGCAGAATATATGACATCACAGAACTTGTTGCCAGACTCTTGTGCAATTGAATTGAAACAAAAAGAATAATTCCGTTATTATTTATTTTTTCGTATTTTCCAATGGAACCTGACCCATTCCACATGTTAGTACTTCGTAATTCCATTCCATGAAGTCTTTCCATGTAGATGGATCACACATTCTCGATTGAATTTAAATCAGGAAAGTTTTCGAGCCAGTCTATATGTTGAAGCTTGGATAAGCATGGAATAATAATAATACAACACAAAATGTACGTAACAAAATATATTGAAACAAGGAAAAGGTACACAATATTTACAGTTAGTTTTGGTATATTCTTGGGAAGACTGTTCCTGTAGAATGGGTTGACTTAATCGCAGTCGGGCAGAGTCTCGGGATTGGGATCTCTTGTTCCTTCCCTCGTCTTCCCGGTACCAACCCATATTTATATGGTTGGTACTCCACTATGTAAATTAGGTGGATCCTACCACAACAGTATAGTACTTTGATCTTTTTTTTATTATTAAAGCTTGCATTATTTTTAATCTATTATTTAAACCTGGTTCATAAATAATTACATCGGTTACACAACCACATGCTTATCCAGACGTCTTACGTTACACCTATCTGATCACAGCTCCATTAGAACCGATTTAAACACACACACAGATTTACCAGACTCCATTAGGAACATACTAGTAGAAAACAAAAATATATTAACTGCATCCACCTGCAAAAAAAGACTAAAAATATGGAAGCTTTAATAATAATAAAAAATCCAACTCTTAACAATATTAACTACGAACACATCCACAACGTACTAACCGTATTCGGAAATTAAAACATCCCTACCACACACTAAGACATACACAGAACGCACACAGTCAAGTAAGCTGAAAAATCGAATCATCCTTGATAATGGCTAAAGGTATAGCCGAAAGCGCTCGGAAATATAAAACATTTGGACAGTTCTTACACACTCTTTGTCCAGAAAAGAAAGCTCTTGTTAGAACACAAGAAAAATTAAATAAAAAGCTTACCGTAGTACCTTGTCTCTCGATATATATATATATATATATATATATATATATATATATTATAAATTAATTGATTTAAAATATGGTTTTTCCGCTACACATTTCTAAAATGGATGGAACTAATGTCTTTAATTTAATTACAAAATTAAATTCGGGGCTTTTAGCTTCCATTTTTGAAACATGGTTAGAACTGTGTAGCGGAAAAAACATATTTTAAATCAATTAATTTATAATATTAATGCTCTGTAAATTTACATTGAGCACTATTTTGTAAAAATAAAAATATCTATAAGAACACAGGATTATATATCTTACTGTTCTTTCTTTTTTTATTTATATTCATATATATATATATATATATATATATATATATATATATATATATATATGCAAACATATATATATATATATAGGTAGCATATTTTCATTCATGCATGTTTAATTGAATAATATAGACATATTATGTCTATATATTCCATGAGAATTCTTTGATTCTCTTATCGGTTCCTTGATGTTAAGTTGAAATTCATCAACGAATACACCATAGTTTTTGTTAACCAAAGTACTTTCGATCTGCGCTAAGATCATCCTCAGGGATGAAGTGCGAAGTCAAAATTATTGTAGCTGTAATCGTTGTGATGGTGTGTTTTGTAAACACGCGTGTATTCCTAAATGCTAATAATTAAAATCTATTCTGAAGTAAAGTACATGTCCTAGACCTTAAAAAATATTTGTCCCGTTTTTGTACTAATCGTTAAAAACTATTCTGCATTACTAATCCTAGTGCTAAAAAACGTATTTAAATAAAGTACATGCCTTAGTGGTTTGAAAATATTCTGAAGAACATGTCTTAGTGCTTAAAAACTATTCTGAAGTACCTGTTATATAGCTTTCAGACACTGTCCAACAGTGCTGCATGGTTGGATCATCTATCGAAGTAAATGGTCTATTCGACGCTCTGTTTATGATTGGCATTCTCGTCTTACTAGATCAATATTGTCAGAATAGTGAGTTCGTTTCTTAGTCGGTGCGCCTTACTTTCACCCTTGTGCCACATCTGCGCAACGCTTAGAAAATGAACATCTCACGAAGTAGATATTATCAAGGCCACCTCCTTGACAACTACACAAATGGTCGGATTTGAACACAGGTCTCATTGTTCAAACTTATTCGACTATACGCCAACAAAAAAGAAAGAAAAAAAGAAAGAAAGAAAAAGAAAGAAAGAAAGAAGAAATGAAAGACAGATAAAAGAAAGAAAGAAAGATGAAAGAAAGAAAGATGAAAGAAAGAAAGAGAAAGAATGAAACAAAGAGAAATGAAAGACAGAAAAAAAAGAAAGAAACATGAAAGAAAGATAGAAAGAAAGATGGAGTACTCAAAATTCTGAGGTCATGTCTCAAGTATAAATACAAGCAGGAAAATGGCATCACACGGAGAAATAATGTTAAAAAAAAAACGAAAGAAAAAAATAAAATAAGAAGAATAACAGATGTGTTAAAAAAATTAATAAAAAAAGAATGAATAAATGGATAAGAAATAACTTTTACCAAATTTAGACAGTTTTACCAGAATAAATAAATGTCAATCCTGTTTTCACAAAACGCTTCTGGTGGTGAGGATTTCCATTATCTTTCTCCAAAGATATCAACTCCAAAATGGCCGCCAAATGCTGACAGAGCTCGATTAACAACATCGAGAAGAAAAAATGTGGCAAAAACACCACAGAAACGGTGTCATTATTTGGAGACAAGCTTTTACGCAGCAAGCTAAAGAAACTGCAGACAGTGCAAAATTGAGTCGAGTGAAAGTAGCCAGCGAAGACATAAATGATTCTATTAGGCTTATTACACATCCACTTAGTGTAAAAAGAACTCCTCAAGAAGAAAAAGAAGAAGAAAAGATAAAAATGGACGGAAAAGGGTAATCAAAAATAAGAATAGAATGAAAAAAATGAAAGAGAAGAAAGAAATTAAGAGAGAAATAAAAAGAAGGAAAAAGCAACAGAAATGAAAAAAAATGAACTAATTAAGGAAAGAAAAAAGGGAAAAGAAGAAAATGAAAGAGAAATAAGGAAGGTTTAAATATTGAAAAAGAGAAAATCAGACAGGCGACAGAATGAAACAATAAAAAATCTCTTGCGAGTGAAACGATAGAACGGCGAAAAAAAAA